TGATGTGAAGCAAGGCTGTGTCTTAGCTCCTGCCCTGTTTAATATCTATCTTCATGCAATGATGTCTTGTGCTTTTGATGCGGCTTGTGCTTACGGTGTTCGTGTGGAGCACCGTATTGATGGTGGGTTGCTGAACCTCCATCGTTTCGGTGCGAGAACTCTAGTCTGTGAGACAACCATCCGTATGTTGCTGTTTGCTGACGACTGTGCGTTGTTTGCACACAGCGCGGATGAGTTGCAGCACATGACTAGTGCTCTGGCTTTGACAGCGGCCAAATTCGGGCTCACCATCAACACAAGCAAGACTGTCTGTCTCTTTCAGCCTGCACCGGAGGTGCAATCTTCAAAAATTTCGAGAATCAGCATTGGTGCTGAAATATTGGAAACCACCTCCCGCTTCTGCCACCTTGAGCATGTGATGTCGACTGATCAGCAGCTACATATTGAGTTGCGTATTCGCGTGTCGAAGGCAGCGGCAACATTCGATAAGCTAGAGTTCCGTGTGTGGAACAACTATCATCCTACCATTGACACGAAGTTGATGGTGTACAAATCCATGGTGCTGTCCGTTCTTCTATACGGCAGTGAAACGTTGACGATGTACCAGCGGGATGTGCGACATCTCGAGCGCTTCCATCAGCAGTGTTTGTGACGGAGTTTGCGCATGGGTTGGGGTGACAGAGTTGCTGACACGGAGGTGCTGCGTCGAAGTGGGATGAATGCAGTGGTCTGCATACTTCTGCTGCGACACCTGAGGTGGCTCGGTCATATGAGCCGCATGGATTCGACACGGATACCGAAACAACTCTTATATGGTCAGCTGAGTGTTGGGAAGCGGTAAATGGGAAAACCAAATGTTACGCTGCCAGGACATGATCAAAGTGAGTCTCTCACGTTCTAATCTTGATTGCAGGTCATGGGAATCGAAGGCGGTTGATCGGCGTGCATGGCGCGATCTAATCACGAATGCAATTGCCGAAGTGCGGGAGAAAGACCGTATAAATAAATAAATAAATAAACGTTTTATTCCTCAGCAGTGCGAGGCAA